TTAGTAAAACCATTACAAGGAAATGTGCCACTTTTTCAAAAGACGAAAATACAACATCCTCAAAGCAGAATTTTCCAGAAACTTTGTCTTTTTGTCATTTTTTCAAGGAATGAAACTATGACAACTCCTAAAACAGATAAGTGGGGCATCAGGTCATGAAAAACACAAAAACTAATGTCCATAAAATTAAATTAAAAGTGTCAATTAGTGGACAGTGTGGTACTCCTTGAAGCAGGGGGTGACGCAAAGGGCTGGTGGCACGTGTTGCACTCAAGTGTGTCTTCTTTCGCTGACTAAGGGAAGCGCAGAGGACACATCGCTGGTAGCGGCAGTCGCCATAGCTGGTCCTCTCAAAGTCCACGGGGCAGTGTCGGCCAACAAAGTGGGAGTTGGTGACTGGTGGAGTATCGTGCTGGGGGCAGTACTCGGGCAAGGGCTTGTCGAACAGCAGCTCACGGACAAGACTCAAGCGGTAGTCGAGGAAGGAGAGGCAGTGACCAACGGCCAGGTACACGGCGTAGCTGTTCACCAGCGTAAAGTCGAGCATGTTTTACCACTTCAGGGACTTGCGAGTAGCTCAATGATTTGCCGCTAGTTGGTCGTTCTTGTCAATGCCCCCCATCAGGGCGTTGTATTCGATGACGCGGGTCGGTTTCTGCTTTTCCTCCCCCATCCTGTCTTGCTTGCCGGAGCCACGGATGTCTGCTGTATGCATGGTGGAGAGCATATGGATGTTGCGCTTATCTCGCCATAGCATGGCCAGGAGAGAACTGCTGACGCCCAGGTCAGCCGACTGGAACGCTGTTTCGCCCCGCTTCGGCTTGATGGACTGCAGGTCTTTCAGCATCCCTTTTCTGTTGGCCATGACGGTGCCGACGACGTTGAACTTCTGGTTGTGAAGTCGTCAAAACAAATTGGGACTGCTGAAGGCCCGGTCGAGGGCAAGGTTGTAGCCCTTGCCGTTTAGGTCGCTCACCAGGTCCATCACCACTTGTGTAGTTGCTTGGAGGTCTTTCTTAGTTTGGCCGGTGTAGATTTTGAAGTTATAGCAGTACCCAGCGGCATTCCCGTTGCTCTGGCACAACTTGTACATCTTGATGCTGAAGCGGGCCCTCTTTCTGAGGTTGTAGGTAGCAAAGTGGAGACGCCCGTAGAACTTCAACAGGGAGTCGTTGACAGAAATGTCCCGTCGAGGAACGTAGAGGGGGCAAACTTCTGAGCAAGATGGTCGACGACTGGGCGCACTTTGAAGAGACGGTCATCGCATGGCGGTGTTGTCGTTGAAGTGCAGGGACTGCAGGATGGCAAGGACGAGCATGACGGACGGGAATAGGCTCATCTTCAGTAGTGAGTCGGTGGACCAGAAGCTATGAAGGGTGGGGTGCTTCGCAATGCCCGTCATTATGCAAGGCCCAGAAAGGCCTTCAGTTCTCTAGTGTTCAGATCAGTCCATGATCGCATGTGCGCCGATGTCATAGCGGGCCTCTGCACGGCATACCGGTTGGTCTCTTGCACTATCTTGTTGTAGAGAACATTGTTAAAAACAGATCAAAGGCTTCACTGCAGGTTGAGCTGCGATGCAGGCGGGGATAGACGGCACCACCATTACCAGTGAAGCCGTACTTCAGCGATGTACTGTCTTCATCTGTCCACTGGAATGGTGCGTCACTGCTTCTGGTCGACGCAGCGGTCTGTGCAGGGGACTTTCTCTTGTGCTTGCCGTATACCGCCAAGGGTACATCACTGTCAATTTAATTAAGTTCGGTCACCCCGGCTATTGTCCCCATTCTCCGGCTGCAGCAACCCTTATTGCCTAAGACTAATTTATTTACCTCCAATGATGGCCTCAACTTTTTAACTGACAGCAATAACCTTTTAAAAAAACGCCCAGCAACTTTTTTTTTTTTAATAAAGTGCCGATTTCGAAAACCCTGGCCACGAATACAAGGAATATGTCTCCATTACAGGAGCCCCTGACGGCAAGCGGTTAATCAATGCATTTACAATAGTTACAAATTGTTGTTGAGCGTCTAACCTGATGCCTTCAGCCAACACGCTGATTTTTGTTTGTGCTCCTAACAACGCATTAAAGCTCTTATAGATTTGTTAACCTTTGTGATTCCGATGTCAGTGAGTTAAGACTTGTGTAAAATGAAGTCCCACCAGGCCGTTTTAACATTATCGTCTTGTTCAAGCCACATCACTATATAGGTGCTTGGGTGCCCAGATCCTTTTGGTGGATTAGGCACCCCAAATCCCACGTAAGTGGAATATAGATATTTACCATGCATGTGTAAGTCTTGCGTGTCGTAGTTTTTACCTGGAACGGGAATATAACCACTAACACCGCTATTATCATGATAAAAAGCTGTACCGAGACTGTTTGACAAGTTATCTTGCCTTTGTTTGAAAGATCTAGTCGAGATTAAACAAGCAACAAGTATCAACCAACGCTCTGTGGTCATAGTTGGTGTCTAACGGGTTGAATATATTGTCACCTGGTATACATGTAGGTAAAGCACAGTCAAACAAGATCTTTCTTACCGTAAAGTACACGTGAAAATTAAACAAAGCTGATACGTATAAGGGTTGGGATCGACAATTAAGTCAAAACCTGCACTACACGCAGTCGTTGCACAATAGACTGCAAAGTTTATCTGATTTTTAAAAAAACGACAAAGAATCTGTACGCCAACGATTTACGGCTTCATCTGTCATTATCCTTGGTAATTTATAAACTGAAGTTATGTAGGGAAACTTGGCCTAAAACGAATTGTCTTTGTTAAGGAGAATAAACAAGTCACTAAAATTAACTCCCATAATTTTAAGAACTAAAAGAAAAAACTAAGTTGTTAGATTTGAAAACAGAGTAGCAAAATATGGAAAAATTTCACAAACCTTTCACTTTACTAAAAACAAGCAAACGTTTCAATTACAAGACGCCATAGATAACTTAAAAGGCAGCAAAGCTGTCAGCGTTAAAAAAGTAAGTTTTCACCCTGGATATTTTAACATTACAACCTCTACCGAAATCAATTGGCTAACTCACATTGATGGTAGACCGAGAGAAAGGAGGCCCGCAAGGCAGAAAGAGCGTGAAGGACGTGAAGAGCATGATGTACCACCACCAGAACCAAACCCGATGTTACCACAACTTCCTCAAACAAACACCGGACCTGACAAACAAGATACCGATATGAGTTTTTCAGAATTAATTGAGCTTACAGTGCCATTGTCAGAATTGGAGGCAGACAGTTCGGTTTTGTTTTATAACTTAATAAACGGTTTTATTCGAACTTGCAAGACAGGAAATTAAGAAGAATTTAATAATAACGCTATACAAAAATTAAATGAGCTCAAAAAACAAAAAACAAATTTGAGAATCAACAAAAAAGACTATAGGAAGAAGAATTATCAATTTCTAAAATAAAAGATAAGGCATTTATGTATGTAATGCTTTTAACTCAAAAAAAAAATCAATATTTACGTAGAAGCCAGTCGCATTGCCTTGAAGTTATTCAAGAAGGATTTGTAGAAGACAATTCAGATGAAAGAACGAGAATAATTAGAAATGCTCAATCTGAACCTAGAGATGCTCTTTTAGTTAGGGGGATTTAATCGTTTAATCATTCAATGGCTTCACACTGGGGCAACATCAGGAGGTCTTTTGCAACCTGGAGAGCATGGTAGCATCGTCATTCCTCTTGGAATTTACGACATTGATTGGTTTGAATTTGCTTAAAATGCAATTCCTGGTGTAAGTTTTAAAGTACATCGAGATTCAAAATTGGTCACAATTATGGTGACAGACATATCTTAGATTGCAGTTGGGTAAAGAAGCTGGTATGTTGCTCAAAAGATAAGATAATGCATTTTCTTGAAAGCTCTAATTACAATAGATAATTTGTTTTTATCTGTTATTTAAGTTAATTGATCTGGGGTTTCAAAGAAATAGTTTATAAAGTCTAGTTCTCTTTCTTATAGATTTTAGTAGGCCTTTAGTAATCAAGGGATTTTCAGGTAGTTTATTATCATGTCTACACTTTGTATCAGGCATGCATTAATCAATGAGATGAGTTTACTTATTTGGAAGAGAATTGGGAATACTGCAAATTTATTCCATCACAGGCAGCAACGGAATCCCAGTCATCCTAACTAATTCATCTTTACATGTCGGGATGAAGTACTGTATTTCTTTTCAATGTGTGCATGTACATGTAGGTTTCTGGCGAGTTTAAGCAAAGTCAAGGCCAAAGAGAATAATTGGAAGGTGATCACTGAAGTCCAATAGAACAATGAAAGTGGAGGATAGTTCAAGTGAAGAAATCATCAATCAATGTTGCTGATTTTCAAGTTATTCTAGTTGATTTATCAATTGTAGGGCAGAAAAAATGAGTATATAAGAAGTTTTGTCACCATTAGTTGCAGCTTGAGTTGCACTATAAAGAAAATCAATGTTAAAGTCCCCCATCAACTAGCATTTCGTTGTTTCAGCTGAACCTTTTTCCAGCACCAAAGCAACTGTGATTCTCTGTATAGGTTCTTCCTCTGGCTTCAAACTGAATTAATGTAGGGTTAAATTGACATTATATGATAGCTTTCAACTAGCTCAATTATAACATTAAACTGGATTAACCCCTCTTTTACCGTATGTAAAATCAGCAAAACTTGGCGTTTTCTGTGTGCTGGTTTCTGTCTCCGCCTGGGCTCTTCACACAAATTTATCAAAATCCACCAATGAGGGCAGCAGACAAATCTTGGCAAAAATGTTTTGATGACACATACCATAGACAGGTTTGCCACTTACTGTAACACCAAGTTACCGAGATTTAACTCTGATTAACCTGAATTTTGGAATCCAGGGTGTGAAAGTGTTGATGCGTTCACAGTTAACTAATCAGGTATTTGTCTTGGATTTTGCACGTTCTCACTCGATTTTACCCCGAAAGGTCAATTCCCACCAGAAAACTGGCATATTGCCAAATCCCGCCAACGGGTGACTATTGTTTGCCCCATCTACATGTATTCGTAATGACGGCTGTGTGAGATAGTGTGAATGTCCGTTTTACAGTGAAATTTTAACACAACAGGAATCCTCAGTGTGCTTTAGTACACATGCATGTGCATTATGATTATTTTCAGTGAAACTGACCCTGAACCCCCTCCTCCGTAAAATGACAGGACATTAAAATACACCTACTGTACATTTTAAAATGGACGAGGCTATTTTCATTCATTGGCTGCAGTGCATGCTCGCAACGAATGGCTTAAGAAAACTTGAGCATGCGCACGGCGATACTATAGTGGCTCTGTCTTAGTCTTAGCTAGTTCCAGCCTTTCGAGGAGACTCCGAGCATGCAGCTCCAGCGATGGCAAAGACTGAGCCCATGTCCAAAATGAGCTTTCATTAGAGGAAAAAAACATCCAAACTAACCGTTTTGAGACACCGAAAGGAGACGGATGAGTTAAGAATGAGAAGGTAAGCGCTCTCCAGAAAAATAAAAAAGAAAGTGTTTCTCTTTTTAACTTTGTTTTACATGTATGTGATCTGTTTCTTGTTTATTGGAACAAAGTATTATAAGTGAGAAAAAATCAAAGTGGACCATTTCTTTAATATCATATTTCCAACTGAATCTTAACTTTCTGTTTTTATAATGGAAAACAGCTGTAAATTAAATCGTAGACAGATTCTAAAAATGTACTTCGCCAAAATGGTTATATGGTTAATCTATGTAGAGTAGATTGTGTATAACTGATTGTTTTGGTGACATTGTGCACAGTGCAGAGTGACTAGGTGTGCAAAATGCATGTTACTTCCAACTCATTTTTCTAAGACTTTACTTAAACCTTGAACTAACAGGTTGTGCCATGTATTTTGACACTTTATTAAGGGAAGTTGGCTCTTTTCTAAGACTTTTCGGTTTATGACCATTTTTGGTTGGGTACAATGGTAAAATCTTTCCTAGACCACTTATTTTGCTTTTGCCAGAAACGTTCATTAATTTGTGTTTTGTGTATAAAGGTTCCTTCGGTACGATTTCCAGGTTCATCTGTGAATGTCCCATTTTGGCAAACAACTGGACAGTTCCACGGTGTCGGACGTACATTTTTGGACACTTCAACAGTGTGTGTTATTATTATTATAATCCTGAAGCAGATTTTGATTTTGATAAAAGACATCAGTTAGCTGGTACATTCATTTATAATAACAACATTCCTCATCAGAGTTATTATCCTTGTAGAAACTGACTCATAACACCATGGTGTCGGACGTACTCAGAGAAAGTTAATTTTTTGAGTTTCCATTTTTGTATCACAAACTCTGTGAAATGCTAGGACCTGAAGAAATAGTTTTCCTGTCTTTAGTTTTAGCAGACCCTTGTTAATAAACTTCATGGCAAGACACATTTTTATCTTGTTGTGACTTTCAGATAAAGCATTTATTATATGGGTGTCGGACGTACATTTTTGGTGCAGGACGTACACGTCTAAACTGACTTTTCAGAATAGAAGGTACATGTAATCAGTTCAAACCCAAGCTTGTCTCATTTTTCTACCTTCATGAAGACTTTAGTAAACTTTCCAAACCAAATGAAAATGCCAAGCCATACAAAAATCATCAAAAGCAACTAGAAATGAATTGGATGATGGGGCATTCAATGAAACAGTATGAAGGGTAATATTGTCTAGAAGTATTTATGCAAATTTTGCTCATTTAAACAAGTCAGGTACTGTCAAACATTCAAACTGAAAAAACAGTTTTCTACAGTTGACAATCCTTTAGATAAATAAATCAAATTAAAAGACAATTGCATACATGTACCTATAAGATCTTTTGGTCTTAGAACATGAAATTAAACATTTTTATACGACAAATGCTGCGTGTGTACTAAGCTGCAATTTTAAAGATTTCCAGTTCACACTTCACAGGTTATAGTACACATGTAAAATCCAAAAAGAAGCTAAATAAGTAGATGTATATACCCTTTTAGATGATTGCCAAATCAAAGGAATGGGCTAGCAATTAGGCTGAGAGATTAATCTTTTCACTGAAATTTAAGACTAATGGCATAATACTTTTAAAACTAGTCTTACATTGTATGTTTAATGATAGATACTGTACATGTATATGCCATGGAAAGCATATACATGCACAAGTGGAACACCCCCTTTAATTCCTAAAGCAACACAAAGTGAAACCAATTGATTTTACATGTACCTTGAAAAAAGGTATAAAACCACACCTTTGGTTAGTCTTTGACAATTCTTCTTTCTTGATGTGGATTACATGTACACGTATACAACACCTACATGTACATGTAGAACTTTACTCGTCTTCATCAAAGCTCACACTGACATACTTCTGAATACATGCAAAGCACATGTTTATCCACATATGATGTGGAATGGCTTTGGGCCCTAATTATAACCTTATTAGGATGTATATGTCCAAATAGTCAAATTTATGCAAATTAGTAAAAAACAAAAGTGAAGCCTATTTGGTACTTTTACAAAAGGTTGGGGCCTCATTTCAATTTCAATGCAAATGAGGTGGTAGTGGTTTCTGTACAGTGTAAAAGCATTGCTTTGCCAGCAATGCACGGTTTTGACAGTATTGGAAGTACATGTACAGGGTGTCGGACGTACACATCTGATTCCACAATTTTTGAGTATTTGAAAAAACAATTGGGGGAGTTAAGCTGATGTCTAGGAGGAAGGAACTCATTGTACTTTGTATTGTAAATTTGGCAGACTTTTGCTGAAGAGTGCACTGAGGGGATAAAAATTTGGTGTCAGACGTACCGGTAAGAAAAGTAAGTGTTATAAAATAATACATTACATAGAATTTCAAAAGGAAAATGAAAATTCATTTCTGTCATTGTTTACTTATTGGGGCACTCTTCAAACGTTAACAAAACTGGAACAAAAAATTACTATCAGGCTAAAAAACAGAAAATCTTTCAGAGGGGAAATATTTCCCCCAATTTCTCAGTATTTAAAACCAATTTTTCAGTATCATATAAAAGCCAAATTCTTGAATATTGTTAGAAATGAAGTATGTTTCATGAAAGTATACACCATAAGCTTCAAAATGATATATAATTTGTCACATTTGGACCAGTTTGAAATTTTGGCCCAGAGGTTGATGTTTCCGTGGAAATGCCCAACTCGAGAGTACAGAGTCTGCGCAAAGGTCACAATTGCACTGAACATATCTAATATTTGGACCAAAAACTTACTTTCTAATTTTTTTTTTTTTTTCAGACTTTCTGATAAGGCTATGAAGAAGATTAAGTGGGCGTTAGGACCTTATCGTCAATGGCAAAGTCAGCGCAACCAGCAGGCCAACCCACTGGGGCGGGTGTGTGGAAGGTACAGGTTATTGCGAGACCGTGTGCGATGATCACGGACACTGTGGACTGGGTGAAGAAAGAAGAAAAGGCATTTGGGAGAAGATTGTTTGTGTATTTGAACATAAAAATGCCGGTTTGAAGTTTGTTGATATCAGTGTGTACGTCCTGAGTCGTGCAAAAAGAGGGGCTGTGTGTGCTTATGGAAGTGATTTGAGTACAAATCCGAATAGCTCTTTTCTGAATGGTTATTAGTGGGTGGAGTTGATCGTAGCTTGAGCGTGCCCAGACAATGTTACAATAGTTGTAGTAAGGAAGGATTACAGTATTATAAACGGTAAAGGAAAGAACAGAGCTTGGATAAGACACCTGTCTTCTATGAAGTGATCTTTCCAATCAAAGAAATGTGGTCATTCCAGTTCAATTGATAGTTGAGTGTCACTCCTAAGGATTTTACAGAATGTACCTGGGAAATGGATGAATTGTTGATGTAAATGGGAGGATTAATAGTCCTCGATCTAGACTTGGTAGAGAACATACATTTGGGGACCTCCACATGTAATTACTCTCCGTGAAGAAGATGTACCGGCAACAACAGTAAACTAAGACCTCTTGGAAAGATAGTCACAAAACCATCCAAGAGCCTGTCCTCTCACACCATAGAATTCTAGTTTAGAGAGAAGAAGGTTATATTGTGTCGAAGGCTTTTGAGATCAATGAAAATTCCTGCTGTGAAGAGTTTATGGGATAAAGAGTTAGAAATGCGATCTGTCAACTGAATGAGAGCCATGTCCGTAGAGTGTTTGGACGAAAACCAAACTGATGTTCCACGAGGATACTGAACTTAGAGAGAAAAGCAGACAATTGGTTGTAGACAAGTCACTCCAGAATTTTTGAAAAACAGGGAAGAACGAAATAGGTTGATAGTTATGAATATCACTAGAATCACCACTTTCAAACATACCTATGACTCTAGCAACCTTCAGATTGAGGGGAAAAGAACCAGTTTGAAGAGAAAGATTGAAGATGTGATTGAGAGGACGGGATATAATTGGAGCAACACATTTTACTACAGAAACATGAATGTCACCAAAACCACATAGGCCATCAGTGCAACAGTTTGGGATGTTTGCTTTAATGTCCTTCCTGAGAATTCTGTTAATTACTCGCCAAGTATTTTTTACATCATATTTATTTTTTTTTCAAAAGTATGTGTGTGGTAGTTTTTTTGGGTGAGTCGAATGGAAGAGGTCAGGCGATTGTGACAGCTTCTGTACAGACAACCATTGGCTGTGGAGGGGTTGCATAAGTACATGTATCGTGGGTACAGCCTATCTTTGTGATTACAGGAGTTGATAATAGCTTTGGTGATCCAGGGTTGCTTAGTTTTTATTTTTCTTATACATTTTTTAGAGACAAGAGGGAAATGTCGATTGTACTTTTCTGTGAAGAGTGTATGAAAAGTATCATAGGCCATGCCAGCATGCTGGCATTTGTAAACTGCAGTCCAGTCAGTGGATTCAACATCTGTGGGGAAAGAACGCTAAGTGTTAATATTAATGTTTCTTGCAACATAGTTTCCGAGACCAAGGCCGGCTGCTAAAAAAAAAAGAGGGAGTAATTTGAAACAACGGAAGATGATCAGATATTGTCTGTATTAAAACTCCTTATTGTTGGTTAATATGTTATCAATCAGAGTGCTGCTATGAGGGGATGTACGAGTGGGTCTGTTAATCAGAGGATGGAAACCGGAGGAACAGAAGGTACATGTATTAACAAAATCATCTGAAGGCTGGTGAATCTTATACTTCAAAAGATCCAGGTTATAGTCTCCCATTATGTAGCACAATTTCCTCTTCGTAGCGACAGTATTCAAACAAAGTCAAAATACTGCTGAAAATTAGCTACAGAGTCGTAGCTGTGACATTTAAGTCCTCCCAAACTTGACAGTTCAGGCAGTCCTTCACAAACATGGATGCTTCCCCTCCAACTTCCTCTGAACGTGAAGTGTGAACCAAGGGGTACTCGGCCACTGAAAATAATATCAGAGGAAAATAAAATCAAACGAAAACAAAGTTCCCTGTGCAGATGCCAAGGTTACTTACTGGTGACTGCAACTGACTGAGAACAGGAGATGGTGAGTAGAGAAGCCTTGAGATGGCATCACATCATCAGATTAAGATTGACGTGGGCCAGTGAACCACCAGTTTCCCTCCAATCTTCACCCTTTTCCTGAGGGAAACCGATAACCTGTAGGTTATTTCCACGAGAGAACTGCTCAAGTTTGTTCAACTCTTCGGCATGGTTGGATATGCTCTTTCCAGCTGCAGCTAATCATGTAACAGTCCATTGAAGTGCTTCATCTTGGCTTCCAAGGCATCGATGCGCTTACCTTGGAATTCAATGGACTCATTGATATTTTCCTCAAGCTTTTCAATTCGGTTACGTACATGTACATGTACATGTAAGTCCACCTGACCATCACAAATCTCATTCAATGCTTGTCAAGAGAAACATTCAAACTGATCCATCTGGGTGTCGGAAACATACGCTCCTTTGGTAGGGCTTGGAGACATCAGTGATGGTGTTGAAGGCGACTCATGGCCGCAAGTAAATTTTAGCGTTTTCCGTGGCATGGTGAAACCCAAGTTGTATACGAGGCAGCTGTAGATAATCAGCTGGGGGTGACAGAGCACATGTATATATAAGAATTAGGCAAGTGTGGACTTGTTACAATGAATAGAGTTTGGTCATTATAGTTAGAGCTCAGGCACGAAACGTCTTTACTCAGCCACCATCTTTCATATTATGTTATATTGTGAGGAAAGATTGGTTTTAACTTTGAGATGACACCTACATTTCTTGAAATAACTGAAGAAATATGACTGATGTATTTATTCCAAGTTAAACGGTCATATATACATGTACATACAAGTATAGTCCTAAGAATTTTTTTGTGTCAATTTTTGTTATCTCTCTATCCTCTATAGATTCCAGTTGGCAGGTGGTACTTTGTTATCGCTAAACAACATATAATTAGTCTTGTTTATATCGAACGTTCATTTATTCACTTTAATTCAATCAGATACCTTTCTCATCTCATGATTAACTGTCACAATGTACATGTACATCATGATGACTATAGAATATGTTCCTATATGTATCATCAGTGAAAAGAATAAAGGACAGACTATTTGAAGTTGTATCAAAAACATTAATGTAAACAGAAAAAGGAAGGGGCCCAGACTAGAGCCTTGACGAACACCACACATTATTTAAAGATGATTTAATACCCCTAATAACCACAGATTGCTGTTGATTGGTAAGATAACTTCTAAACTTATCAAAGGCCATCCCCCTAATTCCATAGTATTGAAGTTTGTGCAGAGCATCATGATCCACAGTATTGGAGGCTCTTGAAAGATCTAAAAACACACCAATTGTAGTGGAGGCTATGTCTAGGCCAGTAGCTATCTTATCAATCAACTGAGAAACTGCATGGATAGTTGCCAGATTTGCCCGAAAGCCATACTGATTATCAGATCTATAACATTATGTTTGTCAAGAAATTCCAAAGATGAAAGTACCATTACTGGGTCGCCATTTTTAAAGCTTGGGTAACTCTAGCAATCTTCATATCGTTAGGAACTACACCACTTGGTATAAAGTTGTTTATGATACACATGTATGTATTGGGGCCTAGCAATGTCACAATTTGTTTCAGTAATGAACTACATGTGCTAACTAAATTAAAACCAAGACTAGTTTTATTAGGTACATGTATGTATAGAAGTTGTTTACAATGTCAATAATCTCTTCTTCTGTAGCAGGAAAGAGAAAAATACATGTACATATAGAATCTGAGTTAGGGGTTCGGTAGATAGTCACAGAAATAAAAATCTGAGGTACATGTATATTTGCTGCTTAATTATATTGGCACCATCTATTTCAATCATACTAATTTTGGATTGAGGTATATTTTGGAGTACACTGTCAATTATATTCCATGTGTTTTGTACATTATATTCCCTTTAACATTCCCAAACTGTAAAGTAAACAATTGCATTTTGAGTTAGGGAGGACAATGGTAAAAAAATTTTTGTAACAAACATACTGAGCTTGATTAGAGTCAGTAGGTCAAGCAATATATTTACCATAAAGCTTATTTTTCACAGCAATAAGACTTGCATAACTAACAGTAATCCAAGGATATTTAGGTGTTAATTTCTTAGATTTATTATTCTCTTTCTTAAATAGGATGTTTCTCAAGACAGTTACTGAAAAAATCTATAAAATGAATAAATGACATCCTCAGCATTTAAGACAGGCCTCCAGTCACAAGAAGAAAGATGATCTTTAAAATTCTCTACATTGTTGGATGTAAAGTCTCGGGCTGGACTGTATTGAAAATTACATGTAATACGGTTTACTTTGAGTGGGTGTGAGGTGAATATCAGAAAGTGATCAGATAAGTCAGTAACAATTATTCCAGATTTTGGTAAGGGAAGGACTGGTATATTTGTGAATATATTTTCATTTAAGGTAGCTGATGGTGATGTCACCCTAGTTTGCATATGAATTAATGACAAACATGAGGAAGTACTAGACATGTACATGTACATGTAAGTCACATCCCAAAATTCTTGTGATTGCCTACTGCTATCTGAGTTACATGTACATGTAAGTACATTTAAGTTAAAATCATGCAAAACAAAACAATATTTATTTTCATTGCTAAGATGGCAGAACGATGTTGGACAACTACCATAGATAAGAAATACCGTAGATTGAAATCCTCCAATGACAACATTCCTTATGTTGTGAGATGTGAGGATCTCAACAAATATGCATTCAAAAGAGCTGTTACATACATTATTTCGCTCAGGCCTGGAGATTAAATTGAAGATCAGTTGATGTGGAGAGCAACTCCACCACCAATTCTTCCCTCTCTGTTTTTCGTTTACTACTAGGGTATAACCAGGTAACTTACAAAATT